TTTTTTTTTTTTTTTTTTTTTTTTTTTTTTGAATTGTTTGTTTGCAGAAAGGAAACGGATGTCCGGGGCCGGGGACCCCACAATTCAACCCGGACTATCTACCTCTGGCAGCATTAGCCAGTTTCGCTTTTTACGGCACCAATAGGAACCGAAAGATAACAATTAGATGAGTACCTTGAAAACAGAGTTAAGCTATGCTACGTCTGCTCTGAATTAAGCAAAGGCTTAGTCAGTGAACGGACTAACAGAGCGACCAAAGATTGGGATTTGGGACTGGAGGTTGGGGTTGGAACTGTGGTATGGAAGATGGGATTAGGAGTAGATCAGAAGACCAGATGGGGAGAGAAGGTGGTTGAGGGGGTTAGAGGCTTGACACAGATAAGGAATACTGAAAAGGAAAGGAAGAAGAAAAGGAGGACGGGAAGGAGACGACTGTGTCCTTTTCTTGTTTTTGGCAAAAGGGCATGACTGTGTCCTCTCAATTCGTGTGTACCTTCCCTGTATTGGACGCTCGTACATTCCAGCAAAAGACAAAAGATATCAACAGAAAGAAAAACTGAAACGGATATGCCATTTCAAGGGAAAAAACAGTGCCTGCAACATATGGGGGTTACTTCCTGTTCCACGTTTCCCTCTGCCCGCCACTTGGCGGGTTCTTTGGGTTCTCTTTCTTCCATTTTTTCAGGCTTTTTTTTTTTTTTTTTTTTTTACTAACGAACAAACTAATATGTGTGTACAACAACAAAAAGCAAAACACACGTGTTGCCTGACGCGTTCGTCTTTCCACGTTAGCAAGGAAGTTAACAATTTTTTTTTTTTTTTTTTTTTTTTTTAGTTTTGTTTTTTTCATGTGGCCGTAGGCAAAAAGCCAACGTCATTCGGGCCTAGCCACTTTGGTACACCCACGACCTGTTAAAATGCAGACCAAAGTTCGAATCCAGTGATATCTCATATCTCAAGGCCATTGCCCTTTTGAAAGAGTAAAACAGCCAATGCACCCCAACGGCATAATTCAGCCTTTTTGCGGCACACCCTTGAACTGTTGAGATGCAGTCCTGAGATTGAGCATTCCCCCCCAAGGTCGTGTTTCCAGGGGTTCAGGACAGACATCCGGACAGGGGTTCCGGACCGGTCCGGATTTTCTGGAATATTCCGGTTTTCCGTAAGTCTGGATGGGGCCGAGATGTCCGGAGTCCAGGGTCCGGATTCGGTCCGGAGTCCGGTCCGCCGTAGCTATGATTTGACCCCTTTGTGGGCATATGGAATCTTTTTCGACATCCGATTAACAAACTTATCTTGCAAACAACAGTCTGTTGGTTCTTTGTACTGTCTGTCGTGGTCTGCTTTGTTCTTTCCAAACGCATGAGCCGAAATGGTAGTTGATGTTGATGTGGGTTGAACATTTTCGTTGTTGGTGTTTGATGTTGTGGGACACATGATGATAATGTTTTGGCAGTGGATGTGCTTTCCAAACATGCATGTGCGCCTTCTTGTTTGTGTTCGTGTGCGTGTTTTCTACGAAACTTCCCATGCGATTTAGGGTTGCACCTGCCTATGATTTTGCGTGTATTCCACCGGGCGTCGCCTAATGTGATGGCTGTGCACGAAACAAAAGCCATTCAATCCGCAATGCATGTGATCTCTGTGGTGTCGTGAAATGAAGATGGATGTCTATTTTTCCAACAAAGTACAAACGTAGCTCGTCCTTTACGATACATGGAAAGCTGAATGTGACGAACACATGGCACACGGACACGACAACTTACTTATACAATGACATGCACAACAACCACCGAGTCGGATGCAAAGCACACATCACAAACGTGGTCTTCAATGCATCACTATCGCACAAAGACCCCATGCATGCAATTGCCAACACACCACATTCCTACGCTGGAAACTTCAAAAAGTTTGTCATAGCAATAATAATGAAAAC